TGACTTTGCCAAGTCCATACAGTGAGTCAGGCTGAATCCAGAGCCCATGCTCTTTTTTTTTTTTTTTTTTTTTTTTTTTGTCTTTTGTCTTTTTCCGTGTCCGGCAACGGATCGCAACCCTCAGTGTTGCCCCCGTACCGGACCGGGGACCGGCAACGGGATTGCAACCCTCGGTGTTGCCCCCGCGCGTCGCTCAGCCAGTGAGCGGAACCGGTCTGTATGTGGGATCCGAACCCTCGGGCGGGAGCGCCGCCGCGCTTCCCAAGCAGCGCACTTATCCAGTGCGCCACCGGGCCGGCCCAGAGCCCATGCTCTTAACCATTGCCCTGCCAGTTATTTTAAGCAGGAGCAGCAGCAGCAAAGGGATCCTGGCAGTAAAGGAATTCATGTAAAGTATAAGTCTGTTCAGAAAGGAGAGCCTATATTTAGAGAAAGGAGCATGAAAAGACTATGTGTGTCAAAGGTTTGGAGCCTTTCTTTGCTAAGATAGTTTCTAGTTTGCTGGGTTTTCAGGGCTTTACAAGAGCTGGGAGGTGCTGATGTGGTAGGGTTTGGACTTGGCATGACTCCTGGCATGATTCTCACCACGGTTCTTATTCTGCAGTTGTTTTTTGAGGACAGTATTGATGATGCCAAGTACTGTGGACGGCTCTATGGCCTAGGCACGGGAGTGGTCCAGAAGCAGAATGAGGATGTGGACTCTGCCCAGGAGAAGATGAGCATCTTGGCGATTATCAACAACATGCAGCAGTGATGACAGCAAGCTCTGTGGGGTGGGCTCAATCCTCAAGTGGTGCTTACTGTGCTGACTGGTTACTTGTCTTCCCCACAAGAAAATGCATCTTTTGAGCAAACCCTACCTACCGTCTGCATTGAGCAGAAAGACTTTTGTTTTACTGAAGACAAAAGATGTCTTCATTTTAGATCCAGAAGAGAAGAGTTTGCTCTGAATTTGTAAACAAGTCTTCCCTATTCTGCATCCCCAAGCCTCTCCTCTCCAATTGCCTCCTGCCACCAGCATTTATGGCTCATTTGACACCTTTTAAAATACCTAGGACAAGTCTGAAACAAACTAGTAAAATGTATATAACTCTTACCTGTTGTCATTTTTTTTCTTTTAAATTTCTTGTTAATTTCTGATGATTCTTGCTATGATTCTCAGCTGAACTGAGGGCTTTCAGGGAAAATGGGACAAAATGGTGTTCTTGTGAAGTGGGTTATCAATACTGAGTTGTTTCCTTTTTTGACCCTGTTCGAGGACACTTGCTTTCCTCACATTTTGGTAGTCTTACTTTGGAATGAATTGCTCAGTGCTGAAATTAGAGACCAGATAATGAAACTTTTCTTAAACACAAACAATTCTACTAAATCTGTCTACCCTTCATTCATGAGAAACTCCAGAATTGGTATTAAGTTGACCACTTCAGTGTCTGTGTTCCATTGTGCCATTGAGATTTGCTATCACATATGCATCATCTGAAATAATTTTTTCATATAATAATCCTGGGTTTGTTCCTGAAGGAAATTAATAAGATCAGATTTTGGGGTTATGGCTGTTGTATTTTCAGTAATATTCAGATGGTCATTTGTATTCTCCCACCCCTCTTCTCCATTTTCCCTGCTGCTTTCAGCAATCCTGAGAAGTTAGGGAGATGGATTAATGTGAATGCCAGGAATGTGAGTCTTTAAAAAGGTATAACGGTTACACATAAATAGTGCAGTAAAGGAATTTGGCTTATGGAGTTTTCTCGGAGTAGTATCCCACAACTGGGGTAAGAAGCTCTGGACTTTTTTTTTTTAAAGGTAGTCATTTAAAAAATACACTATTTTTTTGAATGACTACAATTTCAAAAACCAAAAACCCCTTTGGAATGGTGGATATAAAACTTGTTAACTCATTGAAGTGGTTGACTATCCTTGCATTTTTAAAAGCTTATGGAAAACTCAATTCGAAATGATTCAAAAATGTCAAGTATAAACTGGTATTTAAGATGCATGTAAATATTCATGTTTTTAATTTTGTAAAATAAAGATTTCTTTTAACCACTGACATGAAGGTTTGGTCTTTCATAGCTATGAATTGGTGACTCTAGAAGATGGTTGTTAGCTGTTAGGGAAATGGGCACAACTTGCTTTTAGTGTCCATGAGTTGGCTTGCAATACAAAATGTCTCACTTGGTAGGAAGCTTTTAATGAACACCTGTGTAAATGGAATTACCTCTTCACATCATACCCCTGCTGATTGTCAGGTTTTATTAAGAAACCAACTTAATTCTATTTCCAAGGGCCACTCCGTTATATATGGTGAATTAGCTTTTTAATTAGTAGAATTCTTTTAGACAAACCAGCTATCTTAGACTTGGCTCAGCACTTTGTTTCCTGCCCTTTCTATAGGCACAAAAATGTAGGGTTGTAAAAAGTTAGGTACAGGAGCAGATCTAGAATTTTGACTGGGAGGTTCACATATAGGAAGAGAAAGATTTATCATTGTAAGATTTGTGGTGAAAGTATAGCACTTTTCAACCAGGGTGCCTTGTCTGACTGTGAGCCCTACACAGGTGTCCTTTCAAATTTGGGTTAGAAAAGGGAATTTATCTTTTCTACAATTGAGGACATACATAACAGGAGAAATGCTGAGATGAAGGTTGAGGAACTCAGTGTTGACTTGAGGGGTGGGGGACTGTCTGGTCATTGCAGAGAGGTAAGAGCTTCAATAAGTGGTGCTAAAGAAAGAGCACAAGTCTGAACTGGCAAAAACTCTGCCTTGTGGGTATATGAGTGCATACAGGGCTGTGTGAGTAGTTATCCTCAAAAGGGGATGGTGCTGATGGGTAACCAAAATAACTTTGGGTGTAATTTAATTCTTCCACATATACTGCCAAATGTTCAACTCCAGTGTTCTGCTAACCCGGTAAGGGGTTAATACTAATCACAAGCCCAGTTGTCAGCCAGTGCTGGTATGAATAGTCCCAATTTAGAGCCCTTTAAGTCGAAGCTATCAGTAAGTATTCTTTCAATTTTCTAGTATATTCAGTCAATACATTTTCATAAAGCACCTACCAAATACTAAACATTATAAGTAGGTGCTGTGGGTAAAACAGCACATAGAAGACATGATCTCTACCCTCACTGGAGTTTTCAATCTACCTGTTGCCAGACGTTGAATAATTTACACAAATACAATTTATGAACTGTAAAATACAGGACACTTGATGTTGCTGAGGTTGAGGTACAGGGACAGCCTTTTTGGAGAAAGGACACATAAACTGAGATCTAAAAGATGTGTAACATGAGCCTGTAAGAGGAACAACATAGACAAAATCCCTGAGGTGACAAGAGAATTTGGTGGGTTCTAGCAGCTAAGAGACCAGCGTAGCTGAAATCTAGAAGCAAGGATGGGAGTGCCTTGACAGGAGGCCAAGAGGTAAAGGCTGGGATCTGGTGGGGCCTTGTAAACCACAGTCAAAATTTTTATCTTTTTCCCAAGCACAGTGGGAAATTACTGAAGGGGTTTTTAACAGGGAGCTGATATAATCTGATTTGCAATTTAGGGATATGAATGAAAGCCATTTATTCAAATTATAATAGCTTGAGTACATTATACAAGATTGGAAAATGGAGGAGTTTAAGGGGAAACTGAGTTGTCATTTTCGTTATTCTTCTAGTTTAATTACTTAGTTTTCAAGTAGTAATTCTTATTCTTACCAAAGCAGTAATTAAGGAATGTGTAGAATTCTTCCTTCCACAGGTGATAGTTTTGGTAAATCATAAATGAGTTAAGAATTTATAGTTTAATACTGCTCTTTACTCAAGTGGAAGGGAATACATCCCCCCCGCCCCCACCAACTCTGTAAGTGAAGTTGTTCATTTTAGCAGATTATAGAACTGGTATCCAGTTCTCTACTTAGCCATGTCTATTTACATCTTTGCAATAAAGATTCTCCACCCCTGGTAACAATGCATCCTCTTCCTGAAGTTCACTTAATGGTGTAAAGAACTCTGAGTCTCTAAATTCTACAACACCACACAAGAAGTGTGCCAGGCTCTCCTGAGCCGGGGTGATGGGGGGCCTTGGGCCTCAGTCACTCCCCCGACACCCACAGACAGCCCCCCAGTGGCCACCAAGCAACCGTAGGAAGTGCCCTAGGCCTCCCAAGCCAGGGTGGTGGGGGGCCTTGGGCCTCAGTCACGGCTCCCCCCGACACCCACAGCCACCCCAGTGGAGATGACTGAGCTGCTACAGGAAGCAGTTCGGGCTCTCCCAAGACAGGGCAGTCGGGGGACCTCAGGCCTTGGTCACGCCCCCTAACACCCACAACCTGCCCAGTGGTGACCACCAAGCCACAGCAAGAAGGGCCCCAGGTCCCTGACCTGGGATGGTGGGGGGCGAGGGCTTTTGCCACACCCCTCTGACATCTGCACCCAGCCCAGCAAAGACCAAACCACCACTGGAAGCCCACCGGTCTCCACTGTGGGAATGAGGGGGATGCCGCAGGCCTCAATCCCGCCCCTCCTCCTCCTCCTTCCATCCCATTTCCTTCCCCTTTCCCCTCTCCTCCCTCCCAACTGTTCTGCAACAACATCATAGAGTGTAAAAAATAATATTAATAAAATCATTTTCTTTAAAAAATAAAAATAAAAATAAATAACTTCTACAATTTTCCTTTTTTGGGAATAGTTTTTTTTTTTTTTTTTTGCTGCTCAGTACAGGGATTGAACCCCAGACCTCTGTGTTACCAGCACCACACTCTAACCAACTGAGCTAACCGGCTGGGTTTAGCATTTTTTAAGCTCTAAAGTCAGGCATATACAACTTATCTTTGAAAACTGCCTCTTAAACTTTTTCCGTCCCAGAGAAAGTTCTTGTTAAGGAATTTCATTCTTGCTGCCCACAACCCCAACCTTAGATACTGGAGCTGGAAAGCCTTCACAGTGAATCCCCAAAGAAAACAGTTCAATTATCAGGAAGGAGTGTTCCCTCCTACCCCCAACCCAGGCTGATTCTCAAGTCCTAGAAACTGGTATATTACAAAAACATCTGTTCCTGACATTTCTCAATAGTTTAGATAACCAAAGAGGAGAGGATGAAGATTTATAATTAGATAGTACTTTAGGTTTCACTAGGCTAAAGTTGGTGTCCAATGATCCAAAAGTCATATATGCAAAATTAGGAATATGCACAAAATTCTCAAAAGGGTCCTGTGATCCAAGAAAGATTACAAACCACTGAAACAATCATTTCTTCCTGAGCTATTTCATCTCCATCAATCATTTCTTTTTTTTTTTTTTGGTCCTTTTTGAGACCGGCTGCACCGCGCTCAGCCAGTGAGAGCTGTGAGTGCACCGGTCATCCCTATATAGGATCCGAACCCGTGGCGGGAGTGCTGCTGTGCTCCCAGCACCGCACTCTCCCGAGTGCGCCACGGGCTCGGCCCAATCATTTCTTATAAAACTGAAGGGATAACACACATTTGAGTTAGTTGTTTCTAAAGCTTTAGTACGTGGTTTGTCCAAACAAGCAATTACATAAATAAAACAACGAAACCAAATTTTCAACCTAATGCTCAGACACAGGGTAAAGAGTCAACATGATGGACAAGGCCTACTTCACATTCAAACTTCAATCTTTGAAAAAGTAGAGGGAGAGAGCCTGGGTAAACAAAACAGTTGAAAAAAAACATTCCAATAGCCATAAAATGCAGCTCTTCTATCTCAAACAAGAATGACAGGTTTATGATCAAGCAGGTGAAATACTTATAAAGGTAGTTTGTGTTTAAAAACATAACACTTTGGGTGATTAGAAAAGTTTCTCCTCTTTGGGTGAAACCTGCATAATAAGGCTTTAGAGATGATCAACAATCACTCGACAGGTATTAGTTCTGAATAACTACCGCTGGCTCTTCACGGTCTTTCCTCCAGCAGGAAACGACAATTGAGACCAAAGTCAGATTCCACAGCATCTAAGGGTAGACAGAGTTGATTCAAACTTAACCCTCATTTATATTATTTTGGATTACTGCAAATACATCTATGGATCAGAGTGAGCATCTGGCAAGGTGTAATTGCAGAGGTGAAAGGTGTCAAATGTTTTGAATTTGGCATGGTTTCTTCAAGGCCTTTGAAAGTTCACGTGCAGAAGGTATGGCAGTGTCTTTTGTAAGCTTTAGTACTGCCGTATTTCTGGAGGAGCTCCTGAGCCTGTTGCTGCATTTCCTGGGTCACATAGCCAGGACACTGGGACCCAATGTGAAGTAGGACGAGGCAGCACTCCAGCACATCTGGGAAGGGCCACGTCTGAAAGATGACATCAAGATGAAGAAAGAAGCATTTGCAAAAGAGCCACAAACACCTGCAGAGAAGGCACCAGTAACTCAGACTCAGGCACAGTTGAGCCATTTCTCTCATAAGGCAATGTTCTTTTTTGCTCTTCATCATTTACTCTAAGGAGAGATGATACTCAAAACCAGGCTGTTACTGGGATGTCCTTCTCAAATTATAGTCTTTTTCTAGAGCCCTATTCAAATCAGCTCAAAAGATGGTGCTTCTATTACTACTAGGGACGCAGCCAAATATACCTATCAATCTGTAAGCTATCAAATACATGATACTATTTAAAATTTTACTTCTTACTGCCTAACTATAAAATTTGTTTGGTTTCTTTGAAGACTGAGGTATAAAACTGCTTGTGTGATCATTAATTCTACTCTCACAAAACATTTTTGGCTAACCAAATGGTACTGGATCCTAAATTTTTAAGCACATTACAGACGGGTAAAGATTGTAGTAACTAAACAGAAAAGCAGATGGCCTTTAAGAATTTGGTATAGTCAGGTGATAATACAAAAAGTAATTTTTAGGGCTGGCCTGTTAGTTCACTTGGTTAGAGAATGGTGCTGATAACACCAAAGTCACAAGGGTTTAGATACCCATATGGGCCAGCTGCCAGAATAAAACAAAACAAAACAGTAATGTTTTACCAAATGAACAGCTGTAGAACTTACCTTAATACTCTCAGGAAATTTAGCCATTCTCTCATTTGCCTCTGTAAGC